TTTTGCTATGGCGTCTTTCAAATGTAATAGGTGTATTGCCTCTTTTTGTTCCATAGTCACCTGCTAATTTTAATTAAAAACAAACAAAAAAACCCCGCAACTGATTTCAAGGTTGACAGTCCTAATTATACAGAAGCCTTCATTCAGTCTGTAAAGGCAATTTTATAACAGACATGTTCAGATATGAGTACTTTGCAGTAGCAAGATGCCTATTTATGTACAAACCTTGCAGGTTTATTGCACATATGCTCCAGATTGCTGAGTTGTTCCTGATCAGGGTTCTGATTCTTCCTATACCTTGCTTTTCCTGGAAGAAACTCAGTTAATTTCCTTATTATCATGTCTGGTTAACATGATTACAAGTGAGGACAGCATTGGTTGTGATTTCCCCCTCGCCCCTCTCATGCTTGCACTGTATTCAAAATTTAATAGACCTTGGTAATTAGTGCAGATTTCTTTGTTTTACTCCTGTATCTCTGAAATAAAATTTTAAGGAGAATTGTTAATGAAACTTCACTAGCTTAATCTCATATTTAAAATTATTCTCACTCTTAAACTTTTAACGTTTTAGCTGTATTGTGTTAAACTATAAATAGTTTATGGAAAATGAATGGGAAAGGGGATGGTGCCAAGAACGCTTTGCAATTGGCAGAGTAATCAAAAATTGTTTAAATTTGGTTATGCCCCAGCGGTCTCTGTAAACATAGTGTCCAAGTTTGCTTATTTTTTGAAGTAAACTTAAGGAAAAGATCATTACCTTGAAATACATGTTACAGAAAAACCTCAATTTTACTTTGTTAATCAACGTGTTGTGCTAAAAATTATCAGAATATGAATTCCTTCATCTAATTTGAAATGCATTTTCGCACCTCATTTAACTTGAAAGCAATTTTCCCATTATTGCAGATTTTTTTCTCATGTTTTAAAACTCCAAATGGAAATTTTTAGAAACATAAATATATCCCAGAAGCCACAGAATGGTATTGGCACAAGATGAAGAAGTTAAATCAGTTACTGTGTTCTCATTACGCTGGCTGACACACACAAAGTTAAGAATGTGAACAATAGTGAGACAGTAAATTAGATTTTTAGCAACTAATTTAATTAGTCGAAGTAATTTTGGACAGACACTGTAATGCTAATCCTAAGAAGTCTGTAATTATGACTTGGGAAAAATCATGAGTTTTAAAATGATGTAGAAATATAGTTCTTTTTATATGATTTGAGGGGGTTGCCTTTGTGTTCTGTTTTTTTTTTTTTTTTTTCCAATTTTTCTCTACAGTCACAATTACTTGGAAACTTACTTTTCTGTTAGCTCGTCCTGGCTTACATTTAAAGGATTGGAGGAACTGGGACTTATTTTGTAAGCATGAAATTTTGCAAGATATGTAAGGGTTTTTTTTGTTTGTTTTTAGCCAGATTTGGAGCAAGTTTAGTTATACTTTGCGTCATCCTAATTTTTGGAGAACTTCTCGAGCAGAAAAATGCCTTTGTGTGTGTTTGTTTTGACATGAGAACATAAACTGTAGAAAAAGTACATATTTTCAAAACCGTAGTTATGCAAGATGTCTTTTTTGTATGACATAATCTGTATTTATCTGCAGTGCTGGATAGTTCTAGGTTTATCTTCAGTTAAAGCACCCCCACATCCTCTCTTTATATGTGTTATAAAAATACTTTGTTTCCATCAAATGAAACAGTATACTCTCAAGATTAAAAGCTCAGAGGAGAATAATTACTACACTGAAGGGATTACTAAACTTGCCCTTAAACCTGCAGAATTAAATGAATGCTGAAGTGACACAAAGCTAAAATACAGTCTGAAAACTTTATGAAGGAGAGTTATTTTGCTCCAGTCTACCATTACTAAAAGGTGTGTAATTTGAAAAGGGAATTTCTCTCTTTTCTTGTTTATTTGTTTTTTAATATTAAGCCACTCTTCTATCACTGATGCAACTTAGGGGAAGTTTCCATGCTGTCCTGTTCAGATGCAGGGTCCTGTGCTTTATTTATTTCTGAGATAAAGGAGAAGTTTGTAAATAAAACAGCGTAGTATTAACAATAACTATAATACAAATTGGGTGGTATTTTTCAGATTTTTTTATTAGCTCAGTTGGGAAACTCAATCTCGATGTTTGAATTTCTTCCTTCAACCATAAGATAGATAGATCAATCTCTCTCTCTATATAGAGAGGGGGGTGTTGAAGGAAAATTGCACAGCAGTTGGCCAGGTTTTGCTCCTGGGTCCTGAGTCATTCCTCCTGCTCTAAGCCTCTCGGATTACATTTTTGCCAGTGGCAGTTCTCGTCTGTCCCTGACAGGTGGCACCGCACTAGATGCGTATGCCTGGGCAAGCGCATCAAAGCGCTGGAGTAGAGAATTAGTAGGTGCCTGTATAGGTTTCCTCTGTATGCCTCAGGTAAAAATTTGGATCCTGAAACTCCTTAACGTAGCGGCTGCAAACCCTCAAAGGCCTGGGGCTGCCTAGGTGTTTCCCTGCAGGGCTTGGGCGTTTCGTAGACCACACCGGTTCTCTTTTCCTGATGCCTAGAACCAGCCTTCAGCGAACGGGTGAATTCATTGCTCTTACCTGAGCCTCGCTTGAGCAACATCCGCCTTTCCTGAGTGGCCTAATGCTGTAGAAGTGATCAGAGCACATTTCACCCATTCCAGTAAGCTCATCTTCCTCCTCCTCCCACCGTACAAAATGCAGATGTAACCGTATCGTGTCTTTGAAATGGTTGCTGCCGATCCCTGCTTCTGTATAGCACAGCAAGAGGAGTGTTAGACAGCAGTGTGGGAACGCTATAAGTTGTGCTGCTGTGGTTGTTACCTGCTTACTGACTAACCATCCTCTCACACGCTGGTAATCACAAAAATATTCCACTTGGAAAGCACAAACCTGTGAAATACTAAAATTGAAGTTCATGAATGTACTGAAAACGTATTAAAAATTCCTCCCTTCTTTCCTTTCCCCATTACTGTCAAGTAGAAAGTAGTTGTGCAAAGTCTAGCCTAATGTGCGCTGAACTAGCGAGACTTCTATGCTTGGCGTTAGTCAGCTGGAACAGCTCTGCAGAATTTTAGCATCTTTCAGAAAAATATTGCTAATGGACAAATGCAAATATGAAAAGCCTTAATCCAAAGGCTGACTTCTTACCAAAGGATTAAAAAAAAAAAAAGGAAAAAAGAAAAAAACCTCACAATTGAATTAAATGTCCTGCTGCCGCAGCTATAAACCATGGCAATAAATGCAGAGAAACCCCTTTTTTCATTTTTTAATATTTTTGTAATTAGTTAACTTTTTTCTCCTGCAGAAAGACTACACGAAAGATCTTGTTGTTTGTGACTGTGATAAAATATGCTAGCTCAGCCTGCCTGAAGAAACAGAAGACTTGGCAAGAATGCTTATTACCATGACAATCTAAGCAGTCAAGAGCTACGGATTCTGCAGGTTTTATCATAAAGATACAAAACTTGTCCTAGAGGGTAGAAAAGCTGATAATATCATCATGATTCAGGAGATTTTATTGTCTCTGCAAGACTTTGTTTTTAGGATTGTATTACCTGAAGGGGGGGAAATGACCCTGTGAACTTCTTTTATATTTTTGAAACGTATTTGTGTATATGTTTATAATTGTATTTTTATGCTATAGGTATATGTTTTACTAATGTATTTTTAATACATTATTGGACGCCTATATAAAAGTTAGATTTTGCTTGTGGTTCTGAGGCCAAGCTTGGGAAGAAGGCAGGCCTGGCCAAAAAATTTCCAAGACAACTGCTTCTACCTCAAGCAGACTTCTGATCAGTGTTTTCCCTTCAGAAGGTAGGAGAAAAGCTACAGGAGGATTAGGGAGGGAGGAATGAACCCTCTCTCTGAGAGACCTGCAGAGAAGATTTGTGGACACGGCGCCCAGTGGGCATGGGCTTCATGCCTTGCGGCTGCTGCCCTGCACAACATCTCCAGCATAAGCTTTGGATGCTGTGAGCAGGCTTCCTCTGAACGCGCAGTTAAAACAGCAGTAGATAACACAATGAGAGACTTTTAATTCTTTAAGGGATTTCCGTGACCCTGTGGATACGAACAATAGCACAGAGGGAACCTCTTTGTGCTTCCTGTGGCCTGTCCCCACCCCGGTGTTCGGTGGCAAGTCTGTACTGCGTTACTGCAGTAACCAAGTAAGCAGAGACCAAAAAAAGGAAAAAAAAAAAACACTCCTGCTTTCTAGCTGAATTAGAAAATAATTTGATTATTTCAGCCAGTACTTTTTCAGAGGTAAGAACTGAAAAATCAACACCCACACCCCATGCCTAAAGGATGCCTTGATGACTAAAGTGTTTAATATGGTTAATAACACGGCACATAATGCCATTGGTATAAAACTAGCTCAGACTGAGATGGAAAGAATTCTGCTGCTCTTTAATGGTGTGTATGAGAAAAGTTACTGTCACTGGCATTTTGACACTAGCTAGCGTCATTGTAGAAGCCAAAGCCAAACTCTACCTTCATCCCTCAAAAGAGGTTACTCATTGACACATAGCGTACACCAGGAAAGCAGTGGTTTCCCTGGGACAGCACTTCTTCAACCCTTCTTCTCCCTTCTCCCTTCTCTTTGGGCTATTGTGAAAGAGTAGACTTAGAAGAATTAAAAAGGAATAAAGGCTTGAAGTCGTAATGTCCCAAAACTCCTGTTCAAAATACAAACCCGTGTGTGAACTTTTCTTGTTTAAAAAATCAGCTGATTAAATGTATTCATAAAAAATGCTCTGGTTTCAGTTCATTGTGACAAAAGCAAAAATATTATATTATCTGTTATTTGTTGCTTTCCAGTAATTCCATTGTTTACATTATACTGAGAGCTGCATGAGTTTGTCAGCATATTAAAGAGGTTTTGGTTTATTCCATTAATGTAAAATTTAAGGCTTAATGGTATATTACTAATCTCATGAAATCATTAATAAAAACAAAGAACAAAAAAGAGTGTCTTTCTACATAGTTCTAGAGAATGAACCCAAACTCACTGGTACAAATGATGAAGAGGAAGAAGAAGGAGAACAGTTTGACTTCGATAGTGGAGATGAGATACCAGAAGCAGACCGACAAGCTCTTACGCCACCTTCTGATTCTGGAAATAACGTAGAGCATGAAGAGGCTAACGTCACGGGTGAGTCAGCCTGCGAGTCCCATAGGCTGTGCCTCCCCTAGGCTAAGCAAAGATCAGACTGCTGGAATATAGGAGCCTTTTCCTGATGATGTAATTAAGTATTTGTAAGTGTGCCTTGGAAAAATCATACGGATTTCCATGCAAAGACTATACAAGTGTTTTGTTCATTCCTGC